AACAAATATGTAAATTAATTATATTCAAGCAACACATTTCCATTTTTGTTCCACTAACAAAGACCAGACCACTTAGAAGATGCTTGGTTTATTAAAAATATAAAAGAGTAAAGCTGGAAAAACTCAGGGTGCAGAGTGCCCTCCTGTGAATCCTATGGTTCCTGTGCTGAGAGAGAGTTACAAGAAAGAAAAAGAAACACAGTTCTGGGATGGACAGGTAAATGCATTAGGAAATGAGGTGCCGTTTTTCTTTGAGCTGAGGGTGGCCCCCGCAAACCTCTCTGCAGGATACCCAGCTACTTTAGTTCAATTTTATATAAATAAAATAGAAATGAATTCCACCAGGAATGGAATTATTGTGACACTACAAAAAAGCAAAGCTTTATATTTTATAGATTGTTATTTATGAGTCAATTTATTCATTTTACAATCAGTTTTCATTCCTAATTTTTCTAAGGAAACAACAAAAATGTGCCTTCAAAAGTAGAATGAAAAAAATTCTGCAGCATAATTGATTACTAATTGATTTAGTAATTGATTATTAAATCAGTAATAACATGCACTGCCTTAACCACCCAAATATTCCCTAAAAATATGGACATCGTGCCACTTCAAACATACAGTTAATATCTGCAGTATTACACGTATGCGTCACATGTTGATTTTATAGCAAGCAAGTTTTTAAAATAAAAAAGTTAAGAAAACCCTTTATTCGTGATGTTTTCTCATATTTGTTAGCTGTCCACAGTGCCCGGTACTGGTTAGAAGAATTCTCCAAAAGTTGATTCTGTTCATTTGGACGTAGCGTTTTCAGTGGGAGAAACGTTTCGTTACTCATCCAAGTGACTTCTTCAGTCACAGCTGACTGCAGGTTTCCCCAATCTTAAAAACAGTACATTTGCATAATGACTGAAACCAGCCCACTGAAGGAACAATGGACTGGTTTCCTTCAGTGAGGAAACCTGCAGTCAGCTGAGACTGAAGAAGTTGGATGAGTGACGAAACGTTTCTCCCACTGAAAACGCTACGTCCAGATGAACAGAATCAACTTTTGGAGATTTACTTACCTGGATGATTGAGAATGCATCAAGACATTAGAAGAATTCAAATGTTCAATTACTGTATATGCTGTAGATCTGTTTGCAAAAGTAGTTTTTCAACACTTGACACTTGTTAAGTAATTTGTTGATGATACTAACGATCCCCTTTGCAGCGCGCCTCTCCTCGCTGCTCCAGATTTCATGTGCCATCTTAAACTCGAGGTGGATGCCAGTGCTGTGTGGGCTGGAGCAGTGCTCCTGCAGGAGGATTCACCCTGTTACTTCTCAAAAAGCAACCATCAACTGCACAATAGTACAGCTGAAAAAGATATCACCCAATATGTATTTATTTATATTTACTCCTGAAATGTTTGTTGAGAGGATTTTGTAAATAATCTTTGTTAAGTAGTGAACTGTGAATATTTCACCACAGCACAGCACATTTCAGCAGAAGTGAGTCGTTTTTTGTTTGGTTTTTTTTGTTTACCTTTGGTTCCTCTTGTTCATTGATAGGGAGCCTAGATTAGAGAACTGTCTTTTTTTTTTAAATTTCTGTTGTGGAAGCTCAACAGAAGTTTTTTTTTTTTTTTAATGTTTTGGCATTGCCTACTTCCAGAGCAAAGAAACTGATTCTAGCATCTTAAATGGTACTGTGCTGTTGCTCTTTTCTTGGGGCTGGTGAGGAGTAAGGATTGGGGAGTCAAGTTATGTTTAGGTTGTGCCTACGCAAAAGTTTAGACGTTTATTTTAAGGTCACCACAGGAAGTAAGGGTATGGTCCCTTGATTTCTTGTAGTCAGTTTATGATTGGCAAGTGTTTGTTGCCCCCTAGTGGCCTCATGGGGCGATAACAAGTCAGTTTGTTAGAAAAGCTCGGAATCATATGGCCATATGTAGCACACGTGTATACTGTGTATACTGTGAGCAACACACATGATCCGTTACACCAAGGAAAAATACTGAAAGCACGCGCACACACACAAAGAAATGAAAAAAAGAACCATATTTAACAATTTATGTAATTTGACAATATTTTGAAGGTGTTCACCAGAAATATTTTTATATGTTACTGTGTCCAAACCAAACTGCTTATCCTGCAAAAGATACAGAGAATTGTCATGCAACACTTGAATAACACAAAACTACTACACTCAGTTTGTTTTGCAAGATGTTTCACAAAATAAAAACACATCATATACAGATCCAATATGTGATTAAAAATAATGACGTCACATATAATCTTTAAATGTGCAGTTTATCAAGTTTCACCTAGCAGTCTATACCTGCCTTCTCCTTTCTTTTCTTACATCTTTCTCCATCTCTGCAGTGAAGTTAGCTCTAATTTTTTCTCTCCCTGTGAGTTCCTGTGATTTATTTTTAATTTTATGTCCCAGGTGTGTGTTACTGGGGCTACAGTTGCCGATACACTGTGCATTGTTTTTGTACTATATCTTCTATTATGTCTTCCCTAGTTCAGCTTTCACAAGAGTATCCTCAGGGCAAATTGTGTAATAAATGATGCAAAGAAATTCAGTGTGCTTCAGGGTACTATTTAATATTAATATGTTATTTAGTATTAGTGTTGTTTCAAAACATTACTGATGGAAATGACCATTTAGCAGTGCTTAAGAAAAGGTGTATGACTTAAACTGAGATTTATTTTACATTATTCCCAGTATTGAGATGAATTGACAGGTTTGAGTTGGATAAAAGGAACCAGCTCCAGAACAATTCACCTCAATTGGAAAATAAAGATTAAGTAAATTCTAATTTCAACAATTTCCCTTCATTTCACGAAGAAATAGTCTGAAAACAAAAAAGGGGATAGTTAGAAAGACTTATGTGTGTGAAGGGTTCAGATTTACATATGGGCCCCAGTTTTATACTCCATTAGACTCCACCAAAAACCTGCCAAAACAGTTATTTTTACGGTAAGTATCGCTGAAGAATCCTTAATAGCTGCACAAATAATGACATGAAGAGTTTTGTCCCATGCAGAATTCACTTCCTGCTCCTTTTGACAATGCCATAAAGGTCTGTGGTCCAGCTGGGCATGGCAAAGGTTAGCTGCTATCATCATATTTGCTCAGTATGTAACTGTTAACAGCATCAAAATGCTAAAACTATAATAAAGGCAAAGTCAAAAGATGCACCTCATCAATGTTTATAGTTCATGATTAAGAAAAAATTCAAGATTCAAAGATTCAAAGCATTGTCATGTGTACAAAGAAAATAATTTCTCTGTGCAATGAAATTCTTTCTCTGCTGACCACACACAGATGCCGGTTAATATGTACAAATAGGACTAGAACAGATAAAATACAAATAGTATAAATAAATAGAGACAAAAATTGAAGTATTAAATAGATTTGTGTGCAAAAGAGCTATGAGCTTAATATGCTGGTTTGATATGTAAGATGACCTGATGTGAAAAAATTATTATTACTGTTAAAATAGGTCAGCTGTTCAAGAGTCTGATAGCAGTGGGGAAGAAGGAGTTGTGGAGTCGGGATGTTCTGGATTTCACACTTCTAAACCTTCGTCCCGAGGGCAGAAGTGTGAACAGTCTGTGTTGGGGGTGTGTGGGGGTCTTTGAGGATGGAGGCAGCTCTCCTCTGTTGCTGTGGCAGGGCATGGTTTGTCGCTCTGCTGCTGCGGCCCAGAGGAGAGAGCTGTGGTGTGCAGCAGGAGGTCGTTGAAAAGGTGCTGCAAAAAAGAAATAATTGTTCACCTTACTGATACTCAGCACGTGATGAAAGACTGTATATTTGCACAAGGTCTCACAGTTTGACGCTTATCCCATGGCATAGGTCAGCAAGCTCCTGGACCGAGTAGGCACAGCTCATGTTTATTTATTCATCCAGGGGCTACTGGCAAATTTTCTTGGATTGGATGGATGGAGGTACAGTAACTGGTAAGTACATTCCTAAAACAAAAAAAAAAAAAAGAGGTGAGGCTGGTCTTGGGGCTTGCCAGTTACTACCACTGGTTTGTGGTCAGACCTGACCAAAAGGTGCCAAGGATCTTGTCCAGTGAATGGAGCAGTACCAGCTGGTATTTGTACAGGTAAAGAAGGCCCTCTATGGGGAACCCTTACTCCACACTACTCAATTTTCTCTCCCTTTTATTCATGAAATGCCTTGAATAGAGGGGTGGGGGCAGTTTTGTCCCAGCAGGTACTGGAGGTCGATTGCCTGGTCGTTTGTATCAGCTGAAAGCTGTCAGAGTGGGAAACCTTGTAGACTTTACTTTGCAGCCATTTAACACTCCAATAAAATTTTACCAAGTTAACAATCCTTGAACCAACATTCTTTTAATAGCCAGCAGAGGGTGACTCCTGTGATTTCAGAGACACTTTTGATTGTATGTAAATCTATGAGAAAAGGGGCAAAAGTACTCTAGGTCTCCAAAACATGCATCTCAAAGCTTCTCTAACTAATTTTCTATGGTAGCTATCAACATCTTTTTTCCAATGACAGCTTTATCCTACCCTTATTAGTGAACATATAGTGCTTAAGAAGCAAACTTAGCTGTTGTAGCCATCCATTTTGTAGCTTTTGTCAAAAAGGTAATATAAAATAAAACTGATGATGTAGATCAGTGAATCAATTTGTTATTCATGCTTGGCATTCAGCTTGGTGAAAGGGATAAAAAAAATCTAGAACATCTTATACACGATTTCAAATGTATTTCATTTGAATAACTATAGAATTAGCAACAGTAAATTCCTTGAATATCAGCAACTGAAATCCATCGTACAGGAAAAATTTAATCCCAGTCAACACAATCTATAAAAAGCTACTTGGGTAACAAAATCTCTGTACCCCCAAATGGTAATCAAAAATGTATAAGGTGTTGTTTAAAATTGACAATTGTTCTTGCAAAAGCAAAATGTGTTCGTCGCCGCTGTGCATTCAGATCAAAATTCTGATTGCAAAAGGAAAGAGGACAAAATAATAAATAAATTAAACAAGTGACTTTCCAGAAGCCACGGTTGCACTTTATTTTGTTTACTTTGCTGTGACACATTTATATGAGAAAAGAGATCAGAGACTACACCTTTACATACCTCTTCCTTTTCTAAGATCATTCGTTACTTGAAGAAAACAAAACTGAACAAACTCAAATCAAACTAGATCTAGTCCCAGCATCACTTCCATCACACCTGTGAAGTGTGGTGGGTCAATTCCAGTACTACTTAACACAGGTTTGTTTTTGTTTTCCGCCGTCTGTTCCAAACAATAAGTCCAGCATTTACATAATGGTGATCATTTACAAATCACATCAACTTTTTTGATTTCTGCGTTGCCTCATCATTCCTGGATGCTCTCATAGACTTCAAATCGGTACTGAATCCCATTCTCCTCCTGCAGCTCTTGTGGTACATCTGGAAACCTGTAGGAGAAATGATCTTTAACCTTTAATGCATCTTGATTCATCTACAAATAAAGTTTAGAGGCAAGTGCATTATTTCACATTCAAATACCCAATTTCAACATCATTCACATAACACTTTATTATATAATCAACCTTCAACATTTTCCTTTGTTATGTGTGTACCAAGGAGTATTAGAGCTATTGATCATTTTGAGAAGGAGGTACAAATTTTGAGATAATTCTTGAAATAGTATTTTGACTATAAAGTTGAAATGTGTTGATTAGTTGTTTTTCCATGATGAACTGCCACGGCTGATGTGACCCTATACAAAATGCCCGGTGTAGAGGATCAAACTAATTATTTTCCATATAAAAAAAAATTGTACTGCGATGATGCACTGCACTGCATTATTATTTTTTTGTGTAGTGTCAGATACTCCCTCTCGACACTTGCATGGACAAAAATAGTCACACGGCTCCATTATAGAACTTGCAAAGATACAAGAATTTCATGCACTGGCCCACAATGGGACAAATGGGATTCTGGTGGAATACAGTAAAACTTCCAAATATCAGTGGCTCATGGTAGTGCCAACTCCAAGCAACAGTTACCTCAAGCTTTATATTATAAGGTAAAGACCCTACAATAATACAAAGAAAATAGAGAAAACAATCAGATGACCCCATTTGAGCAAACACTTTAGCAAGAGTGGGAAGGAAAAACTCCTTTTTAACAGGAAGAAACCTCTGGCAGAACCAGGCTCAGGGAGGGGCAGCCATCTGTTGCGACCTTTTGGGGGTGAGGGGAGGAAGACAGGACAACGACACACTGTGGGAGAGAGCCAGAGATTAATAATAACTAATCATTAAATGCAGAGTGGTGTATAAACACATAGTGAGTGAAAGGGAAACACTCTGTCCATCATGGGAATCCCCCAGCAGCCTAGACCTATTGCAGTGTAACTAAAGGAGGATTCAGGGTCACCTGATCCAATCTATATGCAAAAATATCCAAAATGAGACCTGGTTCCACAGAAGAGGGGCCTGGAAGCTGAAGTCTCTACTTCCCATTCAGTACTATATTTCAAAGATTTTCAGGGCCGAGTTCAATAACCTTAGTTTTATCTGATTTTAGAAGGAGTAAATTAGAGATCATCCATGTCTTTATTTCTTTAAGACATCACTGAAGTTTAATTAATTGGTGTGTGTTATCTGGCTTTATGGATTGAAAAAGTTGGATATCATCTGCATAGAAGTGAAAACGTTTGCTATGCCTTTTAATGATAGTGCATAAGTGTAAACAGAATTGGTCCTAGCACAGAATCCAGTAGAACTCCCAAAATTATCCTCTTTACACACAAGTAATTAAGTGTGTGAAGAGGACTCTCAATACAAACAAACAAATTGGAGACTGTTAGATAGATATGTTTCAAACAACAGCAGTGCATCACCTTACCTATCAGCATGCTCTAACCCAGGGGTGGGCAACTCCAGGCCTCGAGGGCCAGTGTCCCTGCAGGTTTTAGATGTGTCCTTGATCCAACACAGCTGATTTAAATGGCTACATTAGCTCCTCAACATGTCCTGAAGTTCTCCAGAGGGCTGGTAACGAACGAATCGGTTGATTCAGGTGTGTTGACCCAAGGTGAGATTTAAAACCTGCAGGACACCGGCCCTCGAGGCCTTGAATTGCCCACCCCTGCTCTAACCACTGTAATAAAATATAAGGATAAGCACAGAGACAAGTAAACTGACAGAGGCCATAAGAAGATCATTTTCCCTTCACTAAAGCTGTTTCTGTGCTGTGATGAGCTCTGAAACCTGACTGACTGTTTGACAACTACTCTTTCAAGAACTTTTGAGAAAAAACAAAGGTTGGAAAATGGCCTATAATTAGCTGACAGATGGGTCAGGTGATTGCTACTGCCAGCTTGACAGCCTGTGGTACGTAGCCAATTAATAGAGATAAGTTGAACATATTAAAGAATTGAAGCATTAATTAATGGTACGACTTCTTCGAGTAAGGGCCTGGTGGACGATAAATAAGAAATAAAACAGTTTTCTGGATTTTCCAGCTAGGGTGGACAAAGCTAAGCATCAGGGAAACTCCATCTGGGTGTTTTTGGAGTGCATAAACTAGTGCCAAGCATGTGTGATGGTCTTACTCTGGCAGCAGACGATATTTGTCCAGACTGATCTCAGGTAAGAATGTGTCGCACTGAAACTGCTTCAGAATTTGAGTAACAAACAGTCTTCTCATTCCCGTGCTCCCCATCATCTCCTGGATGATCAAAACATAATTAAAGAGAAAGGTGTGTAGTTGCAGCTTCTCTTGAAGTGCTTCACTATATAACCATCAATAGTAGCAGTCACCAGTGTGACAGTAAAAACCATTTTGGAGTAACTATTTAGAGTCCAGCTGACTATTAATATGTAATCAGTTAGCCTGGCCTACTCTTTTTTGTTTAATTCAAAATGACCAATTTCTGACTCTAAAAAAAAGTGGAAGTGAATACAAACATACCTTGTAGAGAGAACTGCCTCCTATAACCCAGACCTGATCGGCCTGATCAGCCAGTTCTGTTTCGATTAGCCTGAGGGCTGAGCTGAAGTCTGACGCCAAGTAGTGTGCTCCTGCAGGGGGCACTCTGGACCAGAATGACCAGTTACAGCATGTCAGTTAGAACAGGGCAATACTTTGTGTAGCAAAACTCTGCACCGAGTAATAAAATATCCCCCCCCCCACACACACACACACACACACACACACACACACACACACACACACACGCAGGAAGTCAATGCACTGCACACTGGGCATTATGATAAAACGTGACACCGTGAAATGGCACTGTGTGTGACAAATACTTGCACTTCCTGCTGAGGACAATGTTGACTCTGTTGCTCAGAGGTCGGTTCTTCTCTGGGATGGAGTACCACGTCTTCTTGCCCATGATCACCACATTCTGCTTGCCTGCACAAAGACAAGTTTTGAATTCATTTAATCAATTATTATTATCACATGTTTTAGTGTGCAATCTCCAGTGCATGGAGTGTCAAACTCCTTTTATGTCACAGGCCACATACCGCCCATTTTGATCTTAAGTGGGACGAACAAGTGAAACTCCTCTTTGTGTCTGTGTAATTAAGTTAAATATGTAACTGAAATTTGTCAGAACTCTTCAGACTTAAATTGTAAGAAATAAATGTGTAAAATTACAGAAAAAGTCCTGGTAGCTGACCACCCAGTCTTTTGTTTTGTCTTTTTTCTCCGGTCCTCTCCTCAATCAGGAGTGACATGTTTAGCTGCATGTTCTCCTTAAATTGCTGGCTGTCTGAGTGGTGTCCAAAAAAATGATGTGGGCTTTATAGTAGGAGTGCAATGATACTCGTATCGATATTGAACCGTTCGATACAGTGCTTTTGGTTCGGTACGCATATGTATCGAACAATACAAAATTTGTAATTTATTTTGAGCGCTCAGTGAATCTGCGTTCGACTACTCCGCCTAGGCTGCACTGTCGAGCGCAGATCCACTGAGCGCTCAACACAGACAGCATCATCAGAAGGAAGAGCGCAGGGCAAGCTAGCGAGACAGAAGTTAAGCTCTCCTTGCAACATGGCAAATTGAACCTCCCCCACCCTCATTCAGATCTGGCGTTTGGAATTATTTTGGTTTTCATGTGACGTATGACCCTGAAGGTAAGCGCGTCATGGACTAAAGTAAAACAGTATGTTGGATGTGCGCTAGTGTGTTAGCACAGTTAGCTCGTTAACGTGTTGGCCGTCTAGCCCCACGCACGGGGCGATCAGCGGTAGCGCGTTAACGGAGATTTGCCGTGTTGTGGCGTTAACGTCATTTCAACGAGATTAACGCTGACAGCACTAGTGGGAACACAACGAATATGACTGCACATTTACACCGACATCATCCTAGTGCAAAGACAAGTGGAAGCAGACAAAAACAACAAGCATGCATGCTACAAACTTTACCCGAGTCATTTAGACAGCCGTTAGCACATGATTCTCCTTATGGGGACCTGATATGTTTAATATTGTGGCGAGCTCAGACAAGGAGGAGACGGAGGTGTCGTTTGGTCTTGCTTCCCGTGAGCTAGCCAGGGAGCACAGCCGTTTATTGACATCTGCAGAAGAACACTGCCGCTAGCTAACTGCTCAGCGCGGCAACCGCACAGCAACAACAACAACAACACACAGGGCGCCCTCTGACCCCGGAAGGACACACCGTCGCAGCGAGAGGGCGTCACCCGTCACTATGGCAACATAAACAAAACATAACTGTACAAACAGAACCCCGAACAGCCCTGACCCGCTACAATATGCTGCTGAGAATATAGCCCAGAAGAAGCGTATAGTATAGCTTTTATTTTGGAAAGAGCCATTTCTCTGTAATAAACTCTCTTTTCCAAAGATGAGTGATTCCTCAATCAGATACAGGGCTTGCAATATCGCTAGCCCGACGTCCCGGGGCTAGCGATTTTTCAGTCGGGCTACCAAAATCTATCTCTGCCCTGCCCGTCGGGCTATTGTAGGAAAAATATATGTCAATGCTTTTGCATTCTTTCGGAAATGTAGCTGGGTAATTATGTCATTGGCATCGGTGAGCCACTGTCAATATGTGACATATTGAAGTCGCGTTTGAATTTGCGCTTGTTTTTTGCTTTCACTTTGCAATCGCGCGAACTGTGTATAGAGAGCGACAGCACTGATTGGTGAGTGATGATAATTTGCGCACCAATTCCTCTGACATCGTCTTATCAATCGTTAGCTTACTATGCAAACATGACAAGTGAAATCTCCCGCAGCTTAAACATGTGAGAGGTTGATCGCGCAGAGAATCGCTGAGCGTTATGTGAGTGCGTGTGTAAAAGCAGCAGGATATATATTTTAGTTCTGCTGAGCCAAATAAGACAGGTCAGGGTGAAGAAGTGACAGCCAAAGAAAAGCTTACCACAAAACGGAAAAGTTATGACAAATCAGACTATAAGGCAAAAAGAAAGTGCAGCTTTATGGTTTCATGGACAAAAGAATTTCTGTGGCTGCAATATGACGAGCTATATAACCAGGGCTGCACATAAGTGGTCCGCAGGTGCGCATTCGCTGTCAAAAAAAAAAAAAAAAAAACGCGCACAAGATATGAAGTTGCAACGCGTGTTTGCATACATAAGATTTTCTGGAGGAGGACAGACATTTGTTTAGAACTCTTAAAGATGTCGAAGAAGCTCCTTTAAGCAATTACTTTGGTGTTCCTCCACCTCCAAAATGTCAGAAGGAGTCCGAACCACAAAAGAAGCACGTATTCTCGGAAAAGTGGTTGCAGGAGGTGAGCTGGCTTCAAACAAATGATGAACGCACAGAGATGTGGTGCAGAATGTGCCGTGAAAATCCCACTCTAGCGGACAAAAACAGTGCTTTGCAACTTCTTATCTGGTGCGCGTCTTTTATTTTGACAGCGAATGCGCACATGCGGACCACTTATGTGCACCCGTGTAAATAACATAATGTTCTGCCGGGTGTGTTGTTGGTTTTCTCTCGATTTCTGAGTCGACAAGCGCCTTTGTTACTGGGACCAGTCATTTTAAGAAAGGCCCCCATTAGAACCCATGAGAAATGCAAGAAATGCATTATTGCTCAGTCTGCAATATCTTTCCCAGAACAAACACCAATTGCAAATAACATACTAAAAATAAACCTGAAAAATCTGTTTAGAACAGCGTACTATGTTGCAAAGAGTGAACTACCACTGGCAAAATTTAGCAGTCTTTGCAAACTTCAAAAAGCAAATGGCCTAGATCTTGGTTCCACTTGTCTCTTACCCGTGACTTCAGTGGAAATTTCAAATTCAGGATCTGACACAGACTGATTCATGTCCTACACAGTTCTTACAAGTTCATAGAAATTTCTGTTCAATTAGAACCAAGTATTTGAGTTGATGATTGTAATTTTTATACAATGTTGTAATTTGTTTTTCAACAATTTTTTGATTAATGTTTTGTTTCCTTTACAATATTATACTTTAATGTATAATATTGTAAAGGAAACAAAACATCAATCAAAAAATTGCTCTTTTTTTATTCGGGCTACTTAAATTTATTTTGGGCTACCAAAAACTGAAGAGTCCCTGCCCGAAGGGCTACCAGGGATTTTGAAATTTTGAGAGCCCTGAGATATATTTATTTTTTAATTACTTTTGTTTCAGCAACATTAAATTTAAAAACTGTACTTTTGAGTTAAAATATATATTTATAATTTTAATAAATGACAAATTAAAAAGGCATGAACATTTTTTTTGTATCGAAAAAATATCGAACCGTGACACCAAAGTATCGAACCGAACCGTGAATTTTGTGTATCGTTGCACCCCTACTTTATAGATAATTGGGAAACTTTCTGGAGCCAACCTGGACTTGTTAAGAGAGATGGCATCCATCCCACTTTGGATGGAGCAGCTCTTATTTCTAGAAATCTGGCCAAATTTATTAAACCACCCCAAAATGTGATTATCCAGAGTTGGGAGGAGGAAGCAGAGATGTCTTACATGCCTCTCTGCAGCATCTCTACTCCCATTATCCACCCAAAACCCTGACCATAATATCCTATTAAAGCATGCAGTACGTATTACAGGTACTGCCCAACAGTGGTTTGTATCATATCTATCTAAAAGAGTTCAATTTGTTCATGTAAATGGAGAGTCCTCTTCACACACAGGTTAACTATGGAGTTCCATAGGGTTCCGTGCTAGGACCAATTCTATTTACATTATACATGCTTCTCTTTGGCAGTATCTTCAGAAGGGATAGGATACATTTTCACTGCTATGCAGATGACACCCAACTTTATCTATCCATGAAGCAACACCAATTAGTTAAACTACAGGAATGTCTTAAAGACAAAGACCTGGATGCTTTCTAATTTTCTACTTCTAAATTCAGATATAACTGAGGTCATTGTACTTGGCCCTGAAAATCTTCAAAATATGGTATCTCACCAGATTCTTGCTCTGGATGTCATTATCTCAGCATCCTGGTCAAAAAAATGTGAGGAACCATTTTTTTGACCAGTATATGTCCTTCAAACACACATATTAAACAAATATGTACGACTGCTTTTTTCCATTTGCACAAAATCCCTAAAATTAGAAATATCCTGTCTCGGAGTGATGCTGAAAAACTAGTTCATGCATTTATTACTTCTAGGCTGGACTACGGTATTTTATTATTATCAGGATGTCTTAAAAACTCCTGGAGAAGTCTTCAGTTAATCCAAAATGCTACAGCAAGAGTAAATGGTAAATGGACTGGTTCTTATATAGCGCTTTTCTACTCTTCTGAGCACTCAAAGCACTTTATTGACAGGGACTAAAAAAGAGAGAACATATCTCCTATATTGGCTTCCCTTCATATGCTCCCTGTTAAATCAAGAATTGGTATGATGGTATGGTCCCAGTCTGTCTTTTCATGTGACTGGCCACATAGTGTGCCCCATCAAAATAAAGTCCCACCCCTACCTGCATAGATTCTCAGCAGGGCTGAAGATTCAGCTCCCACATACAAGCGGGCCATTAATAATTAATAATAATAACAACCAACTTCTGACAAGCTTCTGTTTTTTCACAAAACCCAAAGTATGGGTTTGACATAATGACATAATTATGATGGGTCTGGACAGAGGTAAATCTGTGCTAAAATCCTGAGCTACATCTGTTGAATTGGAGTGTGTTATGATACACAGTGAATTACTTTTCGATATATACTACTCTCCAAAATATGTAGTTTCACAATGATAGTGTAAAACACATTACATTATTTACCATGTTGTTTAGTTTATGTGGATGTTGGAAAAAAAAAAAAAAAAAAAAAAAAAGGAATGTCACACTTTCCACAAATCTGCTTGGATCCCAGTGATGTAAACTTCGTCATTGAGCAGTGAGTGAAATAAACCATGAGGTGCAATCAAAGCATTGTAAGATGTTGAAAGTAAGATGGTAAATCTTACTTTCAACATCTTACAATGCTATGATTGCACCCATTCCCCAACTCTCTGTGAATGGTACTCAAGGTCATTGATCAGTTTTTGATCAATGGTCATGGCAATTTGCATATTCATGATTAAGGAATTCTCAATAAAAAATTTTAACAACAAAAACAGAGTAGCATTCAGGTAGCTGTAGGGCTGCAGCTATCAGCTATTTTAGTAATCAAGTAATTATCGATTATCCCATAGATTATTTTACTCTGATGTGCTGTGTAATCCATTAATTTAAATGTTATTAGGAAAGGATTAGACAAAAGTAGGAAAACAGTCAGGAAATACTCTTAAGTGTTCAGTTTCTACGCCATATGTGCCAGATACAAGATCCAGAACAGGAGTGTCAAATGTATGGCTCGCGGGCCACATCTGGCCCATTTTTGTTTGACACAATTATATCTGTCCCACGATTAATTTCATAAGTCAGTTATTAATTGTCCATCGGTATGTGGGAGCCGAAATCTCAGCCCTGCTCATAATCCATGCAGACAGCCGTGGGACTTTTGATGGGCACACCATGTATGTCTCCCCACACACCAAAGAAAAAGTTAAATAAATGAGCTGCAATACCTGTAACTTGGTCAATCGTTTTTATAGTCACTATCTAGATGGGTTTTTTTCTGTAATTTGAGGTTATCACGTTTATTATTTTTACGTTTCAAAACAGTATTGCCAACAACCAGAGTTTGCTCCTCAACACATGAGGGTGGCTTCGGTCGCACTGACTACAGGTACAAGTATCATTATTACTAAAGGAGGCAGAGGAGTAACTAAACTTCTGACACACTGAGCAGGAAAGTGCAGGAGGGACGGGTGGAGAGGCCATGTTGCTAGAGATCTGGCTACGAGCTAAACTAAGCTAGCGAATCCAGAAAGACACACTGAATGAATACTGCGAATATAATTAGTGGGTGAATCGAATTATGTGCTTTGGCGTGTGTGAGCTTTTTATTAAAATTATAGGCCATTGTAACAGATAAGTTATACAAAAACACCATCATTCATAGTAACAGGAGCAGGGAGTGATACTCTACCATAGACAGCACCAACACCAAGTCGTGTTCTTTCACCAACATGTAGGTAAAATAACAGAGGTAACTAGTAGGTGTTGGGTTAGTATGATGTTAAGCAGAGAAATCCAGAAGGACGAATCTTGGTGAATTTTGCAAAGAAAAAAGAAGAAGATTGAAATAGCTGTGGTAGACATGTAGGCCTACCTCAAGAAGAGGGAGGGACAGGGTAAGGGTGGAGTAAGGTGCAGTCTTAAAGAGATGGGACACTGTAAGTTGGTATGAGGAAAGTTTGTAGCCAAGCAGCATTGTTTGTATGTGTTTTTTCTTGCTGCTGTTACAACCAAGGTTACGTCCACACGTACCCGGGTATTTTTGAAAACGGAGATTTTCCGTTTTCAAAAATACCCGGGTACGTGTGGACGTAGCCCAAATTTCCCCTTGTGGGACAATTAAAGAATTATTCTATTCTATTCAACCCTGGCCCTTCGATACAAGCAGCACACTTGTTGCTTTATGTTCATGTTTAAGTTAGGTCACTCAGAGAACTTTGACCTGTGACTAAGCAAAGACAAGGTGGAGATGAGTTACCTTTCACTGACGGAGTTGCTGTCATCTTTCGGAAATGTGCGAATTCCTTACTGTAAAAGAACATGTATGTTTACAGATGTACATTTTAACGTCGCTACATCAGCTCGCTTGACCTTAGGTTAGACTTAGCTTGTACCAACAAATGTCCCATATTTAAACTGTTGTGAATGAATTGTTGGCCTATAATCCGCCAAACACATCTCAGACTTATTTCTCATGAATGATATTAAGTCACTTTGAGCCAGAAACAACATTTCTGTCACAGTGTAGAAGCTGCTGTCAGGTTTTGCCAAAGTCACTTGTACACGTCCATTACCCAGATAAGATATTAAAAATATTTTCTTCACCAGAGATCTAGCCAAAGCATATTGATTGTCTGAAGATATGTACAGTGATTAAAAATGTAGCACAGCCGATGTACAGTGCCATACAAAACGGTTCATTTCAGAAATCCTGTCGATTAATCAATATAAGCACAGATACCCGACATAAGAGATACAGAAACATCGGCCGGCGGGACTGACCTGAGCCTAATGGGGTGCCATGGCAGGTTTCCCTTGTTGCCGATTCCCCGGTCAGGGCACACGGCCACAATGGCGTTCAAAACGCGGGCCATCGTTACCGTGGACTGACACTGCACACTCCCGCCACAGAAACGCCGGAAATGACGACGATTGCTTCTCTTTTTTTTCTCCAACTTTATTTCAACAGAAACCTTTTTTAACAACAGCAAGCATAATACATGGAGAACACAATGTATTATTGTAGTGCAAAATTATAATACAGTGGAACAGTATGTATAATTAAACAAATAGGATAGAAATACAGGTTAAAAGGGGGACAAAAGCGAGAGATGCTTTGACGCCGAATAATTAAAGAGATTAAAAATATTACAAATATTTTTGGTTTTTAAAGCTTTCTTGTTGTGAGAGGAACAAATTGTAGTCAGAGATCTAATTCTTTCCTGAAAGGGGAGAAGTACGGTTTCTTGTTTGAGAACTTACATTTAATGGTGAAATACATCTTTCACTTTATTATTAGAATAGAATAGAATTTTATTTCGAACATGCAAATATAACTGAAATAACAAGAGAAAAAAGAAAAACAAAACAAAACTTAAAAATCATCAAATTTTCATGTATATATTTATGTCTATAGAATGTGTGTGCTCGAAAAGGAGTAGTTTACACTTCTACGGTTCCTACCCCCTTTACCCCCTTACTGATCAAATAAGTGATGATGATGATGATGATATATAGCGACAACGGTGTAAACTCTGTGCAGGAAAATACTATTGTACGCAAATTCAGCTTTTCTTCACTTCCAGTTAAAGTGGGTTTAAAGCGCACCGCCATATACTGCCCGCTTGTGGTCATCTTACAAACAATGTGGCATGCAGAAGCTGCATGTTGCATATAATGATGCAAGGAGAATCCTTCTTAGGATACCTAGAGGGTCTAGTGCCAGTCAGATGTTTGTAGCTGTGGGTATTTGGACTTTTAAGGAATTTAAAGTTCACTTTTAGAGAACGACTGGACGGCTCTAGAAACAGTATAATTTTAGCACACACAGATCCGACAGTGAGCCATCCTTTTAACTATGGAAATAAAGTCTGTCAATAAAGACTGAATTGAAATGGAATTGAATTTATGGATGCGGTATTTGGCGAGGAGTAAAATCAGATTCATGAGGTAAAAAGCTCACTAGAGTCAGTATAACCAAATAAAAACGTGTTTTGATTACAATAAAAACATGGTACAAATTTTGATAAGATGCTGTAAGAGATGCAACTAGTGATATCTCTCCATAAAATCTGAGTAAAGGTACACAGCCAAAAGTAAATGCGAGCAGGTCTCTGGGACAATCTTACAAAAGGCGCAAAATGTGTCTATGTCACTTATATTTTTAAAGGAAGCTTTTAACAGGGTAAAATCTATGAATTAGCTTAAATTAAATCTCATTTTGTTAGTAAGGAGGATTTTTTGTTACAAAGACCAAACCTTTTTCCAGTCAGTGTCCTGACAAAATGAGTCCAGAATTAAATGGATGGAGGAACAGAGATAAGTGACTCTTGAAAAAGAGACCCAATCTTGGCATTCACACCTTTACAAGAGGAGAATCAAATCTGACCTAAAGGAGACTCTTTCAGAACAGGGCAAGACATGAACAGATGTGGGGAGACAGTGGTATTTCTAAACAACATGGATAGCTGAGATGGTATGGCATCAAAAACAATACAGAACTCCTTCGGGTATACTGGATAGGAACTCTGAGTAATTATATAATAATCCTGCATTATTGAATACTTGACTTACAAGAAGAATCCCTTTATTAAACTCGTTTTCAAAGAATAGTGACTTATTCTTGTATAGAATGTTACAGTTGTTCCAAATATAATATCTTTGTGGAGAAAAGTTATGTTTATAGATCAAAGACCAAAAGAGCCAAAAGAGCCTGTTGATGAAGGTTTGAGAGTTTAATTGGGATTTTCTGAATACTGTTAGTTGCAGAGGATAATAAAGTCCAAGCCACCCGAACATGAAAAGATATTGACGAGAGATGAAAGATGACTGCTTCTTCTTTCGGAGGGCTATACGGCTTGTCTTCTTTGTGAAATAACACAATTCTGCTGAAAACATTTGCATTTTTTTATTTAGTCAAAAAAGCTGCCGTCTTGAAGTACATCAAAGTCAAAGTCAGTCCTAAGTATGAGGGTAAAATGTAAAACGCTTACAACTGACGAGTGGGTGGAACCCCCAAAATCCAAACTCAACGAAACCTGCTGAAATTTAGCTTGAAGTACAAGTGTTCAGCTATCATGCTACAGCCAGAGCTAGAGTACAAAAACATATTCTTACAATGCTTACCAAAGATATCTGACATATTTGATGACAGAAATCTTTATGTATGTGGTAATCTGATGACAGAAACCAATGCAGCAGCTGTATTTACAGGAGTCTCTCCACCTCAAATTATGGACTAAAAGCATCTCATACTCCCAGTCATCAGATCTCAAGTGTTCAGTGAGAAGCTCCATAAGAATCATCCTTGTTGAAAAAAAAAAAATCCCGTGACCTCATTTTCATCCTATCAGATGTGAATAAAGCTTGTGTAGAGATTCAAGGAACAGTCTGACAGTAAATACAGCAGGGACAGCAGTGCAGAGACTCGTGGATGAAGAGATCACACTCCACACAGAACACACTGTGACACGATGGACAGCTGAACATCTGGAATGTCACAGGCATGCAGACAGAGCAAATAAATAAAAGGCAGATAAAGACATTATACAGTTTTTACAAGAAAAAATCTAAATGAATCCAGCAGGGCACAAAGTGTCACAGCAACTGAAGGCGGGCCCCTGATTTCACCAAAACTTAAGCTCTGCCAGCCAGCACATGTGGGTGGAAATGTGTGCTGCTTAAATCTGTAAATAATCAAGTAGTCTGCTGACTTATCCTATCTGCATTCATTCTCAGATGGGTATAAATTTATATTTACATATACTTTAAATAATTATTTAATCTTTTAAAAAAAAAAAACCTAAATAATATACATATAATAACAACAATAATATTGATACAAAAGGGGCAGCATGGAGACACTTATATACCGTAAATGTCGGGCTATAAGCCGCTACTTTTTGCACAAGCTTTGAACCCTGCGGCTTTTAGTCAGGTGCGGCTTTTCTATGGATTGTCCGTGATTTTTGTCATATCGTAAGACGATTTGTTTTGTGTGTTCCGCTGTTGTACGGCACTACGTTGCCTGGCGGAAGGATCGGGGTTCAAGAGTGGTATGTTAGTCACATGTCCGTCCGCCAGGCAACGTAGTGCCGTACGAAGTAGCGCGAAAAACAAACTTCAAAGTAGCGGTACGCGTTCAGCGGGAGTCGTGGATGATGAGCGGCGATAAACTTGCAAGTTATGCCCAAAAAGCAAGTTATGCCCAACTCCACCGGTGGATTCTGACAGCGTGGAAAAGTGTGAAAACATCCACGATCACCAACGGATTTTGAAGGGCTGGACTGCTGCATGATGGAGAGGAGGACACCGCCACGGCCCTTCTGAGGGTGTTCGACTCTGACACTGACAATGAGGATTTCTTTGGTTTTGAAAGTGACAACGAAGGAGAGAAGCGGAGAGTGGATGACGAAGCCATCCTGAGCCTGTTTGTATCAGACACTGGAGAAGAGGACTTTGGTGGTTTTAGTGCGCAGGAAGAAGAGAAAGATGGTGGTGAATGACTGACTTTTCTTCTTGTTAAAGCTGTGTCACTGCACCTGAGCCTAAAAGGTAGTCCGAATCTATTTTTCTGGTGTGCTGTAGGCTACTGTTATGTACTACATGTGCAAATATGTACCCATAACTTGTTTTTCAAAATATTAATAAAAGTGACAATTCCCTTTGTGCATATTCTCGTACATATGATAAGTCAACATTGAAACACCTGCGGCTTTTGGTCAGGTGCGGCTAATGTATGTACAAAACAGGATTTTCCCCTGATTTTAGCTTGTGCGGCTAATATTTAGGTGCGCTTTGTAGTCCAGGAAATACGGTAATTATTATTATGAACTGAAGATGATGGCACAAGTCACAGTTTTGACAATTTCACAATGAGGAACATTAAAATTGTTCAAATTTTCAAAAATGCAGTTTTGTGCAGGTTGGTGAAACTATCCATCTTCACTCCTGAGAAAGTATGTCTCTCACCTTATTAGCAAATACCTTTTGTGAAACAATTTGCCTCTGTTTAAACATCTTGTGTTTTTCTGAATGAAATGTGTTTGTGATTGTTGCAATGTTTTTTTTCTTTTTTAAAATCTGACAGCATCCCAGCTTTGTGGAATTGGGCTTATATCCTCCTGAGAACCGAGGAAAAAAGAAATCTTCCTGTTGAACTTGTTGTGTGATTTCCTTGCTCTTTGGAGTGAAAAGATTCCACCCAAACACATGAGATATCTATGGAAAGCCCAGCATATCCTCTATTTAGCACATCAGGACTTAGTAGGGTAGCTCAAATAAGTCAAAAGATATAGACTAAAAACACTCTACATGTCCTCCTGGTTCTTAGGAGGACATGTAGAGTGGTCATGGTTTGGGATGCAGACAAATTTCAGCAAGAGTGAGATGATGGTTATCCACTGTATAAGGAAAAAGCAAAAATCTTGCAGATTCTGCATATTCATATGCAGATGCCTGCTGTATGAGATTGTAGGTGTGTTAATATATAAAACTGGTGAACCTCATGGCAAATTTAAAAGAACGGGTAACTATACTGGCTTGTCACAGACCACATTTCCCCCAGTCTTCGACAGAGATGCTGATCTTTAGAGCAGGCCAAACAAAAGCTGGATGTTATGTTTTTGAAACATTTTGTGAATTAAAGCCAATATTAAAGTGTGTCTTGTTATTCGCATACCCGTGAGCAGAAATCACTTGTAAACCTCGACAAATGACTCAATTTACACAGCAAAGACTGAGGGCAGTTGACTGTGACAGGCAAACTGGCTTTTATGAGTAAAACTGGAAGTTAATTTCACAACAAGAATAACACTGTGCTGTGCTGCACAGATATTCAGCCACTTACACTTTTATCCTTCAGCTCTGCTTGACATGCCTGACAGAACCTGAAACCAAACCACAACAGTATAAGACATGCAGTGAAACACCATCTGCATCTCAATGTGAGAGTAGATCACAGCTACCTGTCTCCTTGGAGGTTCTCCACTGGACTCTCTACAAAAGCTTGGAGGGGGAAGAGGTGGTGAAAGGATCTGGCGAGATGGGGGGCCGACACCAGAGTCAAACCTTGGAGATAAAACAGCACATAGGCCAGTCAACACACAACAACAAAAATAATTTCTTTTCCCCATCTAATCCTTTAACTGAACAGTACATACCACACACTTTACACTCCACGGGAAGCTCAGTGTAAGTGGCGTGGCACTGTGGACACAAATATCCTCCCAGAGACAGACCTGGACCACTGCTGCTGTCCAGATGACTGGACAAACACAAAGACGAGCGTCAAAACAAATATTAACCTGCAGTCTTAGCCATGCGGTTAATCGCACTGCTTTCTACTCACGACATGCTGAATGACGGCTTGGCATCCTGGTCAGTCACAGAGGCAATGGTATGCTGAGGAAAACCTGAGCAAACACAAGGTTCACATCAAGTGGATTCAGTGAGAATGACTTACTTTTTTTCTCCAAATCTTGGTTCTGTTTCAAAGGAATCATTTCAAAACGTCACCACAAGAAATAGCTATCAGAAACTCTGAAGGATTTCAACACTAATCTAACCATGAACAGCAACTTTCACAAGAGCTTAGAAGAAGCATTATACAGACACACAAAGCCACAAAAGCATACAAACACAATTCTAAAGACCTAAAGGTTCATCAGCACATAATAAGATCAACAGTTTACAGATGACACAGAAATAACCACTGCTTTATTTTGAAGGAAAACATCTCCAAAGTCTAGCAGCTGAAAGTGAGTCAGATTTGCTGATGCAGTGAGGGAATAAAACAAAGCAGAACACTACTTAAGAATCACCAGAGCAGCAGCAAGCACTGAAGCTTAACAGAACAAAGCTTCTGTGTTTAGACCTGCTGACAGCATGTACCCACACTGTACCCTGGACAGTTGGACAAGTGCGTTACTTTTACTGGTGGCCTCAATATTGGACGCAACGTACACAAAGAGCTTAAGTATATGAGAAGGTGAACGTGACACTTCCAGTGATTACTTGGGGTTCACCAGTGTCACTGGTTTAGTTCCATTGTTTTTATTAATAACTTTGATCCACAAGGAAATCCTACTAATTCCAAAGGCTTTTGCTGCAGCTGTAGGTAAGTGATGGGAGAGGAGCTGACTGAATACCAAGAGATGGAGACGGCGTCAGCATACTCACCCATGCGGATTAAAGAGCATTCAGAGGAGGAGCTGGCAGGAGGAGGTTTGATGTGAATCATCAGCAGCTCTTTGAAGTGGCTCTCATCCAGGATCACGTGGTACGAGCCACCTGTCTCTCTCGTCAGCACTGTACATACCCGGACCTCTGCTGACAGACCGATGACAGACACCCGCACCTTCAGAGACTTCAGGGTCTGACAGAGGAGATGGAGCACAGAGCTGTCTCTGGACCTGAGCTAACTTGTCTATAAGATAATCAATGGACTGATGACTCTCAGCACAAAAAACAGAGTGGCTTCACCTTGATCAGCTCATAGATGTTGGCTGGGTCACATGTAGTGAGACTACTGAGGATGATCAGGATCTCCCGGCTCGTATGTCCAGGCATGTGCCTTCACACAGAGGAAGACAGCAGCTCAATGACGTCTCACTACAGAAGCTAATCAAAAACAATGACTCTGCTAAACCTACTTGAGGGTTTGTATGGCCAGGTTGAGGGAATTGTAGAGGGACGGCTCTCCTACGCAAACAGTGTCCACAGCTTTTTTCAGAGCAGTGATGTGCTTCTTTGGATTTCCTGGTGATGCCGTGAAACAACACACACAGTACATTTGTATTACAGAACAGATGACGTGAGGTTTAAAAAAAACAAAAAAAAGAAAAAAACCCAAAAAACTAACACTGGCACACTGATGCTAATTAAAAAAAAGAAAAAGGTTTAGTGGCAAATCAAAAAACATTGGTTCAAAGAGACCAAATCACAGATACCTGCCAGATCAGTCAGCTTCTCAGCCCTTTTGTTCTTTGTGGTGATAATACCAACCTACAAAACAAAACACAGCACAACTCATTTACTAGCAGTCACTCATTAGTCTCTGGAAGTTTGCTGAACATTCGCACACAGCCGAGTGTAACCCAGCAGCAACCTGGGGCCAATGCTGAAACTCTGGCACCTCCAGTGGACCCGTAAGACTGGCTTCGAAAGCATGTCAGGACACTCATATGTTAAACCCGACATATACAGATTAGAAAGCATGTTTACAACCCGGTCAACCTTCACGGACAGGACGTCTCTCCATTAGAACTGCATGTTGGGCCATTTCCACCAGGGTCTGTCACCCTCACTAATCTAAGACACCCAACTGTCTTTGTGCATTTTTATAAAATTATCAGGTGTTGCTTTGTGGTAGCATGAAGTCTGTGCTCCAGGTTGGCAAATCAAACTTTTTTTTGTCTGTCACAATCAGCAGGCGTATAAGCTGAGCAGCCCAGCCTTAGAGGGAGCATGAGGAATTCAGTAGTTTAGGAGGAGCTAAGAGTCAAAAGGAAACTAACTGGATTGGGCATCTGAGTAAAAGTATGAAACCAGTGTGTGTTTGTATACAGTGACAAGGGGCAGAATATGACTTATGGCATACCTGGCTGATGGGATTTTGGTCAAAATATTCATCAACAAATACTTCCATGAGCTGAGGAGGAAAGAAAAGATGAGATGAGATGGTTAGCAGACAATCACACCGTGTAGCTGCTGGTGTCCAGGGAGACAGCTCTGCTTTACCTTGAGAGTAGAGGTGAGGCGGTTTGGTTTTAAGTCCTGGTCTTCCATACTACGCGAACAGTCAATCACCACATACACATGACGCATCTGAAGTACAAAACAACCTTTAACATCTTAACTTTCTTTTTCAATTTTTTCAAAAAAATAGATGTTATGCACAATATTAACCAGCGGGTATGTTGGGCTACAAATATAGAATGTGCAGCAGATCCTATATTGACATGAGAGCTCAGAGGCCTTGGCTTTGTGCTACGACAGGAAACTTCTCATTCATTTCAGGTTTATTTATAGAGCACCAAATCACATAAACAGTCACTTCAAGGTTTTAAACTGAAAAGTAAAGATCCAGCAGCATTCTGCAAACACATGATATTATACAGATATACACACAACTACTCACATATTTAGAATAATTAGTTAACTGTGTGTAAATTTTCTATGCTTTATTTCAGAGTGCTGAAACAGCACTCCACTTCAATAACGAACCACAAAAAGTGTTACGCATGTGGGAAACACAAGGCTCTGCACAACTCACCATTCCAAGCCTCACTTGCCCATGGCTCTCTATCACCCTGTGCAGCAAAGAAAGCATGAGATGAGGAGCAGGAGAAGACACAAGCATTTTCATCATGGGATGGATAGACAGACAGACACAAACACGCACACCTTTTCCGTTTGGACTGGTACAGAATCTCTTCCACTGTGGCTTTGAGTGAGCCTGACTCGTCCTCCTTCAGCACCTCCCTGAGGATGAAACATATTCCACAATAATCCAGGGAATGACGACACACAACTCAAGCTGCAGATGCACATGTCTGAGCAGTCTCACCATGTCCTCTCATAGCCCCCTTCCCAGCGCTTGGCTCTCTCTGGTTCTTCATCCATTGTGTTTGGCGGCCAGAAATTCAACAGACGCTCCCAGCCAAATCACTGCCAAACCAAGTACACACATTCGGTACTACAGACTCACAATAACTCATCACACGCTGCATTAAGGATAGGACGTATGGCCACATTTCGGTTATTGCTCATTCTGCATTTAACCCATGTGCCTTGCTTAGAAGCACAGTGGCAGTTATCGATTACTGTAGATTACCTCGGTGACTAGCTACCTTCTAGGAAGTTGGCGGTAAATAAAAACATGTTAATAAAAACCCCATCATCAGACCAAACAGCACCTTTACGTACGGGTCGTTATCAGCGCCACAGACCTGCCTGTAAGTAGAGCCAAACTAACAGATGTTGTAAGTGCAGTCCGCTGAGCCACAGCTCATAGCCCTCCAGGACAGTGTGAGGCTGACACTGGGTTCGCTGACCTTACAGTGAGAGAAGCGACAGATGAAGTCGGGTTTTGAAATGAACTTACACTTTCCACCACCAACGAATTACTCCAGCTCGCCGACTCTATTCCGCCTGCTAGCTAGCTAGCTAAAAGTCCTGATAAATCAGTGATTTTCATGCAGTTCAAACAACAAGCATGATGCGGGACTCACATCATGCAGTTACACAGGACTATGATTTTAAACACCTTATAACTTACTATACTAACTAAACAATAAATATAAACACTCACCAACTCTGACTACACTGTAACGCAAGCTGTGCAACAAGACTTTTCCTCCGGATGGAAACGGGCAAAGAAGAGAAAGGATCCGGTGACATACTATTTATTATTATCGTAACATGATGGCCGCGGCATTATAATGAAAGTTTACACAGTGTCATATACAAACAAATAGCTTTGTGATTTTACATCATACTGTACATATCAGGGAGAGTGCAAAAATCAGTGGGAAAACTAAAAAAATGACAATGCTTAATGGTAGTTTAATGCAGTACATGGCAATTGTTAGAAGTTGTTAGCGCCCAGATCCATGAACATTTATGCTATGTGCTAATAACATAAGCTCTGCGCCCATACTAAACAGAGTTTTCCTTTATATCCATCATGCCAAGGTAATAAAGTATAGAAAAGTTTACTTCAGAACAATCGAAAGAATAAAAATAAACATTTACAAGAGCACATGCACAGCTACTCCGATACCGAACAAATTTATAAGTCTCATCTTAACTGTGCCCACAATTATGCAAAACATTTCGGATCACAAGAGAAAAACAATAAAGTCTATAAACCTTACTTGTTTTTCAAAATTTTACTTGTGGAACTGAGAGGTAAAAAAGAAAGAAAAAAAATCCACATTTTATTTATCCTTTTGTTGTAGAAAAACTCTTACTTGATTGGCTTATAAAAATGCATTTCATAGGCAAGAGCATCACTATAATAATCATACAGGAGTTCATCATAAACTGGACAGTTCAGTTCATAGACAGGGTCTTGGGTTGAAGGTTCAGGGTCGACGGTCATATTCACTGATCTTTCTCTTGATGTGCGACAGCTTGGATCTCAGATATTTACACCTCTTCTTCTTAATCTGGTACTCTGATGACTGTGGACAATACATAAGAAATGTATTGTTGTTTGAATTCTTTACACACAAATTTCACTGCTGAGAATGTGAATAATAACCTTACCTTCTTGAAGTCCTTCAGCCTGTTATAGTCACTCAAGGCATCCTGAGATCAGATTACATATATTAGTTTGGTTAAAGAAGTAAGCATCATCCCAAATTCTCACACAGAACTTTCTTTTATGCTAAAGTTTTCAAACCATTTCTAACACTTTATTACTGGATTTATTATTTGATTTTGAGTAGAATTATTTGAATATAAGCAAACACATAATGGATTCCATTTTTATAGCGCTTTTCTAGGCACCCAAAGTGCTTTACAATTCCACTATTCATTCACTCTCACATTCACACACTGGTGGAGGCAAGTTACAGTCTTAGCCACAGCTGCCCTGGGGCAGACTGACAGAAGCGAGGCTGCCATATCGCCCCTCTAGCCAACACCAGTAGGCGGTAGGGTAAAGTGTCTTGCCCAAGGACACAACAACCAGGACAGAGAGAACAGGGGGATCAAACCGGCAACCTTCCAGTAGATGAGCTTCCCAATTCCCCTGAGCCATGGTCACCCCAACATATCAGTCTTATAAAGTTTCCTATAAAACCAGCCACCTCGCATCTGCTGTTAAACTGTTGACAGTTAGAAGATAAATTGTTGCCTTGCACTGCAACTTGTACATTCACAATGAAATTGAATACAATGTAAATTTCATCAGATTTAAAATTGTAGGATTAATTGATGGCAAGACTTTTTTGAACAGTCTTTAGGAATGGAGTCTAAAACAAAACAAACCCCCCACCCCCCCACCCCCACCCCCCTTGCTGGTTCAGAAAGTAAGGACTGAAGTTTACTCAGAAGGATAAATTCCAGTACTGAATTTTATGCCTGTGGCACATATTCCAGAATATGTGAATATTCTTTTGGTTAAAACTTTATTTGTGAAAAAAATTCATGAAGTCATTACTAGTTAAGGTTAAAGAACTAGTCAGTTCAACAGAGATCTGACTTTTTGTCAGCCTGCCTAAAATAGGGGTTGTTATTTTCTTTAATCTGAGATGAATAGTAAGATATTCTAGCTTTACAGGGTTGTTTTTGTTTTGTTTTTTGTTAAATAGAGCAGCAAACTCTTTTTCCAAGCTAAATGAAGATCTTCTAAATAAGTGACATGCCATTTCCTCTGTAACTTATGGGTTATCTGCTTTAAGGTGGACATGTGTGAGTCATTAAAAGGAGTCACCACTTCTGATTAGAGGCTTTTTTTTTCCAGAGGAGCTACAGTATCCAGAGTCATACGCAGTTAGAATGTAACACTATTAACAAGATAATCAACCTCTGGGAGTAGAGTTCAGGTAGCTCCTCTGCATTGTGCTGGCACATATCATTGAAGAAGATAACAGTGGAGGAATTATATCCTTTCACTAAGTTACAGCACTTTCAGAAAGACATCTACTGTGTAATATTGTAAATCTAAATATTATAAAGAAATGAACAGAAAAAAACCCCAGGTTTTTCTGGGAAGAATGTTATATGTCATATGTAAGAAGAAGATCCAGAGTGTGCTTCAAGTGGTGGGTGGGCTCGTTTACATTTTGAGTGAAGCCAGTTGGCTCTAATTACAGTTTAAATGCTATGTCATTTTTAGTATCTACATGGATGTTTAAAATAAATAACACACTGTAAATATTTTATCTGAACTGAAATCTAAATCACAGTCATTGTTAACTCATTTTGAGTGTTTGGTTTTTGTTAGATACTCATTAGGTCGCTTAACTGTTATTGTCTGAAAATTGTTTGTGTAGTTTTCATTGGTTTCTGTTTTAGATTTAGTTTTTTAAAATTATAATATGGAGAATACTTTTTAAAAAGTGCAGTTTTAATTTTTATTTCAGTTACTTGAAATGCCTTGTGCTGGTTAAGTATAAAAACCTAGGGTACGGCATACATTTATGAAATGTAAGACTGCGTTCTTCCATTTGCGCAACATCTCTAAAATTAGAAATATCCTGTCTCAGAGTGACGCTGAAAAACTAGTTCATGCATTTATTACTTCCAGGCT